GTCCTGCCAAGTATTTGCTGCATCTGAAGCTCCCGCCTCGCCAGCTCTTCGACCAAGGCCCGGCTACGAGGATCATTCCTCAAGCGCACGCGCAACTCTCGGCACTGATCTCGGTAGCGGCGATACTTCTCCAGCGCCCGCAAAAATATCCCCGAGCGGACCTTGCTCGACGGATGCTCTCCACCTCCAACAGATAAGACTGCAAAGCAAAGACAACGATCAGAATAAAAGAATAAACCTAAGGCAAAGAAGAAGCGAACCGACGTAACAGTACATACCCTCAAGCCCATCACGTCTACTTCATTCATCAGTCCGACATCCGTAACGCCCCTCAACGATGCATTCTCGGCCTCCGAGCATAGCAGCTCGAACTGCGGCACCAAGCTTTCCCCTTGGAGCAATAAGTTCAATTCCGTGGGAACCTCGATGAAGCGAGATCGCCCCCCTGCGCGCACCGCTGAGTTGGTGGAGCCTTCCTGGAACATACGGACGTCATCGGGATCCAAGTCGGACTCAGACTCATCCTCACCCACATTAGCAGCCGCTGAGGAACTACCTCCCGTCTCAGCGACTGGAACCACCAATTGAGCCGCCGAAGCGACGGTATCATCACGGCCTAAGCCAACCTGGGCAACCCCCATTCTTTGTCCGCCCTCAGGGGCAGGCGCCGCAGCAGCACTCCTCTCCGCGTCCGCCGACGGGGAGTCCAAATTAATTACCACAGGAAGAGCCGGCGCGAACGCGACCCTACGCCTTATCAACGGCCTCTCCTCCTCCCCATCTGATGACGACTCCGCTCTAGGGCGCACAACCCCCGATGGCCCCTCGTCCCGAAGTAGGGTCCGTGATGGAGAAGAAACCGCTGAAGACTCGACTGATGCCGCCCTCGGTGTTGAGCGCGACACCGGCGCTGCAGTAAGCCGAGCAACTGCACCAGGCCGACGGAAGGCCAGCTGAGGGGCCCTGACGCGGCGCGCCCTCCCTAATCACAAGAAAACAAGGTTAATGAATAGAGCCGAAACAAAGCAGAACAGAAGAAGAGATCAATTTTTTACCTGCCGCGGCCCTACGGCCATGCCTCTCCCAGAAAGACGCCCACGTACGTATCCCCCTCGTATGGGGGAGTACGGCCTCGACCCACTCACGTATCCAAGACAATGGGGGCGGCGGCGACCTGCCGGCTACAAAAAAGACACGAGTTAACGCCCATGATCACAAACCATAAAGAGAGAGAAAAAGGAATTCAACCACTAAAGAACTTACGTGCATGGTTCCAAGCCTCTGGGAACCTAGTAGCATCCGCCACCAGGTGCTTGGTCCTGATGTAAAAGAAGTGCTCGAAAGGGCGAGGGTCGACCTCGTCATCCAATCTCATGACCAGGCCCCTCGACCCACGAGGGCACGCCCGAATCATGGTGCTGCAGACTCTCTGGGGAGCGTAGAGACTCAGCACATGCTGCAGCGTGACCTCCCTACGGGCCAATTCCGCGTACTTGATGAACATCGCCAACAATTTGTAGAGGGAAGGAGTGAGCTGACCCGGGCACACCCCGTAATAACGGCAGAAATCCACCACCAGCATTGGGAGCGGGATCTTGAACCCCAACCTGAAAGGGTAGGCGTAAAAAACGCAGTATCCCCTGCGGTTGGTGTGGACCCTCTCCTTGCTTCTAGCAAGAACGATGTCTGCATGGGTGGAACGACCCCCTGTTCCCGCAATCGGGCCATCCCGATCTCCCCCATCAACGGGGCTTCGTCCACCGATTCCTCTCCACCATCAACGGTGAAATCAATCGCCAGACCTCCGGGCCGAGGAACCTCCTCGTCAACCGACGGAATTTCGCCGGACTCCATCTGTTCAGCACCTCCCATTGCCGGAGATGGCCCTTCAACTACCGAAAAGTCTACCAGAGGAGCACCGGGGGAAGAACTGACTGCCATTGTTGATCTGCTGAAGACAAATGTTGTCACAATCAAAGGTAAGAAAAGAGAAGATGAATTAGCGAAACGAAAAAGTTTCCTCAGAATTTCTCTCTCAGATGAGCAATGAAGATATGAGAAATGAATGCCTCAACCCACCTTTATAGGCAACATAAATGGCTTTTGCGAAGCCCAATAGCCATCATTAACTGCACGACCAACCGTAAAACTGTTCGATTCTGTCGTAGCAATTGTCATTATGACGAGTTCCGCAAAGCGGCTTCTCAGTCATCCGCCAGCATACCGCCGTCAGAACAATCGCCACTACCTGCAAACACTGAAAGAATGAGCCGTACGCCGTTAAAATTTTGGACTTGACCAAATACGTACCCGGCGCGTACTCATTCCTAACGGCCATCCTCAGTATATGAAAGGCTACGGCCATCCTCAGTATATGAAAGGCTACGGCCATCCTCACTATATGAAAGGCTACGACCATCTTCATTGTATGAAATCTACGACCATCCTCAGTATATGAAAGGCTACGGCCATCCTCAGTATATGAAAGGCTACGGCCATCCTCAGTATATGAAAGGCTACGGCCATCTTCAATGTATGAAATCTACGGCCATCTCCAACATATGAAAGGCTACAACCATCCTCAATATATGAAAGGCTACGACCAACCTTAACATATGAAAGGCTACGGCCATCTTTAATGTACGAAAGGCTACGACCATCTCCAACGTGTAAACGACTAAGGCCACCGCCGCCAATAAGTCGACCCCCTTATTCGAGTTGTTTTCAAATCACAATCGATGAAGTCCGCTCATCGAGCTCGGCCGAAATACGACCCCGATAAGCGGATGGACTAACTGTATGGGTCAGAATTCGACCCCACGATAATTAGCGAGGCTAATCCCGTTAATAGTTAATTCACGATTAATTAGTGGCACGACCACTCAGAATTGACGACGCTCAACCCGTCCCTGGCTCGGTCAACAAAGGCCCCGGCCTATCCACCACTAGAAAGGCGAGACCTCAACGTGGTCACGGCCACTGAGGGACAGCTCACGAAGCCCACAGCTATAAATACCAAGAGAAGGGACCCCAGAAAGGGGGGCTTCTTGACCACTAGTGAGAGGAGAGAGAAACAAGAAAATATACCCCTCTTATGGGAAGAGGAAACACCATTGTAAGGCTCTGAACCTCTTCATGGAGAGGCAGACCAAACAAATATTATCAATAAAGGTTTCCAATGCTTCTCCCCCTAATTCTGAGTTCTTGTTTTCATTTCATTCAATTGGTCCAACGGATTATTACGATTTGCTATGATTATCCCGGGATTTATTTATATTGTTTTGTACTCGTAAGATGTGTAAGTATTTTTAAATTTGTGGTATAAAATAAGTAATATATATTTGTATGACTGCAATTTATCTTGTTTAGGATAATATTGTTAAATTATTTCTAAATATTTATCCGTCGTTTTTGGAATTGACAAAGGAGGAGGTACTAATTATCAAATAATATTTGGTTCGGTTGAAATGAGAGATAGAATTTTGACAACCAATTCCCTTTTTTTTTTTTTTTTTTCTTTTCTTTTTGGGCTGGAGAAAGCATGACTGCTGTCCCATATTCTTTGTTCAGCGCAGGGGATCTCCTGAAGCGTAAATGATTCAAAAGCCAAAAGCATATGTCAAATGAATCATGTTCTTTAGTAGATCTAACGTGTATGCCACTATTACTTGAACATTAGTACTATTCAACTAATTATAATACCCATTTAGACGGTTTCTTTCATAGATTACATTCTGAAATTCAGACGATTCCCTGACGGCAAGCAATATTCATATCCAGGGGATTCCTAGTATACCTCAACCTTCACGTCTCTCTTCCTTATTTGCTTAGACAAACTATATGAAGAAGCTTTACATGTCTTTAAAATGTCCGGCAATGTCAATCTCTGTGAAAAAGTCCGGATCCCATGCAAAACTGGTTATCATTTTGTTCTCATAAACCAAAGATAAAGAAGGAACTCAGTCAACTCACACAAGCCAAAATTGTATTACATAAAACTATTACTATAGACTTTATAAGTCTCAAATGCAACCCCTTACAACAAACCAGAAGAACACCGAGAATAAACAAGGTTTAGTATCACCGACAAATTTTAGTAATAATTAATAAATCTAGACGAGATGCCTTCAAGGACAATTCGAAATTCCTCAAATCCCCAATACTTACTAACTACCAACAAAATGTTGCCTCGATGCTAAACCAGCATGCGAAGCACTATGCTGTTGAAGATGCTTCACCAGAGCATTGTGGCATCACTTCACTTCCCAGCCACTCCAGATAATGTGCCATTTACATATGCAATATGCATGTAACTCATGTGTGTCATAATGCGATACACAACCTTGTTGAACCTCTCCAATTTCATTTAAGTGCCAAATGAGTATCATTATTTTGTGAGACAGCAATAACTGAGATGCAAATGGATTATGATTCAAAAGGGAAGGAGTTCACAAGAATTACTGTACATGCTGTGTAACTATGTTGAGCATCATCACAGTTAGTTGGAACATAATCTGTAGTCAACAATCAGGATGCTGCGCTGCTCTTTCAGCAAGAACTTTCCTCTCCCCAATCACAACCACCTGCTACAAAATCTACATTATGTAGAAATCTCAAGTTTGCTGAATCCTCACTCAACTTCAGCAAAACCTGCATAAAAGCATAAAGTAGCTGACCTGCTGTTTGGCAAAGGGTGATCATGCCTTCATCATCCATTTGAGATATTTAAGAACTCTCACATTGTGTTTGTTGATGTAGTCCAGATCTTGTAATACCGTTGTTATCTGGAGATACCTATTCCCCATCTCCAGAAGAAGACTTCCCATTGCCATTCAGCTGCTGAAAGGAAAAGATGTACCATGCAAATTACTTGTCCACCAGCAAATCACTAGGGGGATGAGGCTCAACTGGGTGAAATGGGATGATTTCCAGACACTTGATTCCAGTGGAAGAAGTGCTGCTTCACTCCATGCAAAAATGCAAATTGTCACGGATGTACTTCAAACTATTAGTTCCTCCTCTGAAACACTTGGCTGGTAACCTTGCAATTTGGCTTGACCAGTGAGCAGACCAAGCATCTCATAGACTGAACAAGCATGCTTATGATTTAGGTCACTGGCCAGAAAACTGTGAATGGTACCCTCAGCTTCGATTCTGCTTTGACCTGGAGGCTTTTTCATTCCTATTCCAAACATCTTCTGTCTCGTGACAACAACATCTCGCCACCTCTTATCAGTGGCATATAGATTTGACAAGAGCACAAAGTAGCCAGCAGCTCTATCAGGTTCAAGCTCCACAGCCAACTTTTGAGCTACACTAGAAGCTAGTCTCACATTTTTGTGTATCTTGCATCCACCAAGAAGAGCACCCCAAACAGCCTCATTTGGCTTCATAGGCATTGTCTCAACAAGTGCCACGGCTTCATCGAAAAGTCCAGCACGACTTAACATATCAACCATGCATCCATAGTGCTCAATCCTCGGCTCCACTCCCCAAGTTTCTTTCATACATTTAAAGTACCGATACCCCTCATTGACATAACCAGCATGACTACAAGCAAACAGAACAGCCAAGAACGTTATCTCATCCGGTCTAACATCATTTCCTCCCCAGCTTTCCATCTGCTGGAAAATAGTAAGAGCCTCATGTGCATACCCTTGTTTTGCAAAACCTGTGATTATACTGGTCCAAGAAACTGAGTTTCTTCTGGGCATCCCCTGAAATACCCTATAAGCTTCCTCTATTTCACCACAACTAGCATACATATGTATAAGTGCATTGTACAATGACACCAGCACTGGCTCATTCCTAAACTGTGAGGACTCAAATACACATGAATGGATCCACTTCCCCAGATCCAGAGCTCCCAATTCAGCACACGCTGATAAAACAGCCACCAAAGTCACCTGATCAAATTCCACATAGCGCCTTTGCATCATGCGGAACAAAGCCAGTGCTTGTTGGCATCTTCCGTTCTGCGTACATCCCGCAATCATGGTCGTCCAGGAAACAACATTCTTATCTGGCATCTCGTCGAAAATTATAAGAGCCTCATCAACATCCCCATATCTAAAATACCCAAAAAGCAATGAGTTCCAAGTCACGACATTCTTCTCATTCATTTCATCAAACACCTTCCGTGCATCACGAATGCCGTAATCCTCTCCAGTAGTTGCATACAAATTAACCAAATTGGTCTGAACAAACACATTCAGCAAAGGCAATTTTTTTAAAATCTTCCCATGAAGCTGCTGTCCTTCCCTGAACAAACTCCCTTTTGCGCAAGCATTAAGTACATAGGAATATGTGTAACCATCAGGCGTAGCAGTTGATTTTTCCATTTGATTAAAAAGCTCAACAGATTTTTGTGGGTTTTCGCTACGGGCATGGCCCCTAATAATTTGGTTCCAAAGGGTGGTACTTGGACTTTGGACATGATGGAAAACTTGGTCGGCATATTTGAGATTGTAAGATGTTAAAAACGGAGAAAGTAGTCTAACAAGAATGAAGTTTTTCTGGGTAAAGCCATTAGTTATGATGTGGGCGTGGATTTGTGTTAGCTGTTTGATGGATTTGCAATTCTGCAAGAGAGAGAATAGACGTTGTTGGCGAGCTCTTGATCCTCTCTGATTGGCGGGAATTGATTCTTCAACTAACATTCAACCTCTTGTTTAATCCAGAGACGAATTGCCTGCAGTCGTTTACTGTGGAGTTGTCTGTTAATTCCCTCAAGATATAAAATTAAAGTCACTTTCTTTTTAAGTGAAAGGAACATAATATAAGATGCTGATATTTCTTACTAAAAATTGTATATGAGCCTTTCTGTGCAGTCACAAAGAGAAATGCATCTATTGGAATTGAAAATATGTTTAGAATAAGTAAATTTTTTCTAAATCTAATTCTGGTCAGTGATCCATGACCCTATACAAAATAGCTTCATATCAATAGTGACAGTGTAGTAGGAGTAGCACTTTCTATTTATGTATTTTCTTCCAATAGTATTATTTAAAAAAAATAGGATAAAAATGAGGTACTTTTAGTCTGTTCCAAAACAAATGATACATTTCTAAATTTAAAAATAATTCAACTTTAAACTCTTTCATTTTACCCATTACGATTAACGAGAAGCTTTTATAGCCACACAAATTTCATGGTACCACAAACTTTTTACCCTTAAACTTTTAAAACCAAAGTTTCAAAAGTCTTTCTTCTATATAAAATATTCAACTAGAAGATCACAACTAGTTTGAATTTAGCTATCCTTGACTGATTGTTGTAAAACAGCAGAATTCTCTCCATGAAGTACGCTTTAGAGTAGTTCAACACATTTTGACGAGATGAAAAGATTCTTGCGTAAGGTGGCCAAACATTTTACAAGCGCAACGCAACCCCAAATCCAATTCCACAAACATCTTAAACCAGCAAGATTTAACCTGACTCTCAAAAGCTACCTCAGGTCTAATCCTATCAAGACTATTTTGCTTTTCTCTGACTTGATGAGAAAAAAGATTTCTGCAGTAGATAGCTACGCTCTCCTGTATGTCATCAAAGCTTGCACAAAGAAATCCCTGGCCATTGAAGGCAAACAAGCACATACCCTTGTCATCAAACTTGGCTACGAACCCAACATTTTTCTTCAGACATCGCTTATGGATATGTACGCTGGAACTGCAAATGTCGCTGATGTCCATCAGGTGTTTGATGAAATACCCAACAAGAATGTTGTGTGTTGGACTTCACTGATTTCAGCGTATGTTCAGAACCAGAAACCAAATAGAGCCATAGAGATATTCAGGCAAATGCAAATGGTTGATGTTGAGCCTGATCAGGTAACTCTCACTGTTGCTCTGTCGGCCTGTGCTGATCTGGGGGCGTTGGATAAAGGGGAGTGGATTCATGATTCGATAAGTCGAAAGCCAGAGTTTAGTGAGGATTTATGTTTAATGAATGCTCTGTTGAACATGTATGTAAAATGTGGGGATATCAGAAAAGCTAAGTTACTGTTTGATAACGTTAAAATAAAGGATATTAGGACTTGGACTTGCATGATTGTTGGGCATGCATTACACGGCCAAGCAGAGGAAGCGCTAAGGCTGTTTTCAGCATTGGAAGCAGAAAACAAGTCAAGATCAAGTAAAAGCCAAGGGACTAAAGACCAATTACTTGTTCCCAATGATGTTATGTTTATTGGGGTTTTAATGGCTTGTAGCCACGCAGGGATGGTGGAAGAAGGGAAAAGGTATTTTAGAAGTATGATTGAGGAGTATGGCTTAAAGCCTAGGCTTTCTCACTTTGGTTGTATGGTGGATTTGTTATGCCGTTGTGGGCTGCTAAACGAGGCGTATAGTTTTATTTTGGCAATGCCTATTCAGCCAAATGCAGTTATATGGAGAACACTACTTGGCTCTTCTGCCGTTCATGGCAAAGTAGAGCTTGCTGCAGTGGCTCGGTCTAAATTAGGTGAGTTAGAGGTTAGTCTCGTTGGTGATGATGTTGCATTGTCTAATATTTATTCTGCCAATGGCATGTGGGAGGAGAAAATAATGCTTAGACATGAGATGAGACAAAGGAGAACTCCTGGCTGCAGTTCAGTTGAGGTGGGAAAGTTGCATTCTTGAATGTTAATGAAGAGAAGTGCTCATCCTTTGCACTATGGTCTTGCTCTCTTCGTCGGGACATAAGAACATTTATCAATTTGTCATCTTGTTATCAATGACATTGGGCAGAAAGTTTCAAATATATGACTGTTCGTAATATTGTTAATTCAAAAAGAAATTTCTGGTATATAGAAAGGATGCCGATAAGTGTATGGCATTTGACAAAGTGAAGGAAAAATAAGACTGCCAGGACATGACAAAGACGTGATAAAAATCCAAAAATTGTAAAGACTTGATACTCTATTTACCATGTCCTTGTATTTTCTATATACTATAACAATTTTCGGAATGCGCGAAAAATCTACATGCTCTTTTCTCTTCTTTTTTTTCTCTTTCCATTTTGCTTCTTAAATAAACAAAGGAATGATCCTTACACCATCTCTCGTGCTTCTCCTCATATCCTTTATAGTTAATATATATTAAAGCCGGATCCGATGTTGGTTAGAAATCTTTACTTTCTTTGCCAAAATGCAGTAGCTGCTTTTTTCTTCGTCTATTTCACAACATCAGACAGATAAGTTAGCTATCTTATACAAACAATTAATAAATCCGTTTTGTGGTAGTTCATTTCTCAAACTAAATGATCTGATACTGCTTTTTCCATTCTATAAGCTGCTCATCTAATTAAGGCAACAGCAAAAGAAGGATCGTTTCACTGACGAGTGAACAGAAGAATGCTTTGTGGCTGCAAAGTGAGTAAGGTATGCATCAGCAAACATTTGGCCTAGTTTGACCTGCGCGTCACTCGTAAGATGGAGTTTATCTTCCTTGAGTTGCAATCCCATGGCATCGATACAAACAACATTTGGGAGGTCAATCCTCTTTTGTGCTTGTCTTATCTTTTCAGTATACTTTCCCTCTCCTGATGCAATTGCTACCTGCATATAGTACAATATATAACGCGTGCAGTTAGATTACATGAAAATAATCAAGAACTTTATGCCATAGATCTTCACATCAGTTCATCATACAAAACAACGCTTGGATAAAGGTATCTCATGAAATTTCAATTAGCCATCATTAGTTTTGAAACAAACTATGATAGAGTACCTGAATAATTGGCAGAAAAGGCATATATAAATCAGTACGCACATTATGTATTAGCTTCTCCATATTAGCTTTATAGGTCTCGACACGATGCTTGTATAATGTATCACTCTCACCTTGATACCAAAGCAATGCCTTAATTTTTCCACCTTGATGCATGGCAGCTCTGGCTCTATTTATCATGTTCTCATACAAGTGTGTCCCTTTTCCCCACTCCTTTAACGCAGTTCCACCTACGGCACATGGCACCAGGCCAATGGCTCCCATTTTGTCCTTAATTGCATTTGCAAATGACATTCCAGGTCCTATACCACAGGTCTTCTTTGTATCAATATCATGGTGAAGTGGTTCACATGCCATCTCCCAGTTGAGATGTGCACTAAGACGGAAAATTTTGGCAGGATCAGAACAGCACTCAGGTGGAACAATTCCATCCCAATGATTATGCTTATCTACTCCACCACGACCAGACATGTTACTTTGGCCAGAGAGGATGAATATGTCTTCAGGGGTAAAAGCTTCATTTTCTGGGGCGGAGGCCATAGTACACAGCTGAGGATGCCCTTTCAGTACTATGTTTAAATGTCCCTCTCAGCCAAAGACAAAGATGGTGAAATTGCTGGGAAAGCCATCCAATTTGGACTTATCTGTCAGTGATTCTTCTGATGTTATCAACTTTGATGCTGACTATGGTACAAAAAGAAACATTCATAAAGAAGTTGGCCACCAACAAAGGCAAAAAAAATAAAATAATTCTTCTATAATCAACAAAGTTCTCCTACTTATCAGGACAACCATTATTAAAATAGAACATAAGAATAAGAAAAGTTATCAAGGATAATCCAAATGAAAACGACACAGAAGAAATATAATACTGCATTAACAGCAGAAACAACATGTTTACCATAAAAGAGCAGATTAACCTACTATAGACGTGCAATCGCAGTTGCATTAATTGCAGATATAACGTGTGTGATAACATAGAATAGATAAATTTCGTCCCAATTTAATTATAAGTTTGAGATATATGATACTCTTTAGTTGTTTATTACTACTATCATCACTTCTATAATTATTATCATTACCTGTCTGTTCGAAACCTCTTGTTTCATAGAGATTACACCTTCAAAGATAAAATATGTCGAGTTAAAACTACAACAAAAACAATATAACTAGCAGGCTTCTCAGTTCAATAAATTTCGAACAAACCGAAGAATCTTTATCAAAGTTCAATTAGGAAGACCAAGGTCACACATTCTTTTGCTACTAAATGCTTAGTATATTTCATCAAATCGGCATGAAAAAGATGATTTAGTACTTCCATAGCATCTAACAACAACAATCATGTCCCAATCCCAAGCCAGTGTAGCTCCATATAAGCTCATCTCAGTCTATTATTAGTAAAGTAAAAATTATCATAACTTGAACTTGATTCATAAATGCCAATGGATATTAGCTCAAAGAAATGGCATTACTCTTCTTTTGAATCAACTGATAAAATGCATCTAGCATATGGTACAAATTAGCCATTTTGTAATAAAATCAACATCGGCAGCCATACTAGACACAAAACTAAGATCCAAAAAAGAAAAGAAAAAACACATGCCAATGAAGCCTTTGTCCTACGTGGCGGAGCTGGCACCAAATTGTGATGATCCCGTTCAAGTATGGGTTTTCTCTCCCTACAGATAGTGTAGGTTTAATAGCAGTAGTAAATATGCTCGTACCGTTTCACCAATATTTCAAAGGGGGGGGGGGTGGGGGACAGACCAAACCGTACGA